AATATATTTAACATAAAAATCTCACAAAACTGCGTTGAATGAGAACTTACCGTAAACATCCAAAGTTTCGTTTCCCTAATTCTGGAGTGGTAAGACACCGACAGATGCTATGAGCATGTCAAATGTTAGGTCAGGAAGGACCTCTTACCGTATACTGATTTCGTGCACAAGTTACCTCGAGTTATCCTAGGAGTACCCCTGGAGTACCCCTCATTTACAAGGACAACATTCAAATACTTGCCAATTCCTGCTTCAAATTAACATACGAAGAGAATATTTTCTGTTCGTAGAAGGGCGTGGTGTGCAAATCATTCCATCAAAAAGAATTTTACATATATACTTAAAAAATGTGAGCGTTGTTTGAAATATAACTCCATAAAGTGAACTTTCTACTTGACTCTGGGTGACCCGACCCGGGACAGCTCAAGCGCAACTCATGGCTTCTAGTTAATATCTAAGATGATCCTCGATCTCAAAAAAGAAGATCCAATAGAGCGGAATAGACGCATAGAGCGACTGAACCTATTTCGGATCAGATTTTCGTTTTTCCTCGCTGTGCCGCAACACGCGAGTGGTAGAACCGCCACGACTGGAGGTAATGACAGTCGACTTCTTCCTTTACAATTCGCAATTTTTTTGAGGGTTGCACCCACACCCGTTTCGGAGATATAAGAGTTGGCCAAACAACGTGTTTTTGATCCGAAATAGAACTTGTGAACCTAATTCGGATCAGCGAAAATACTTTCACAAATGTCAATTTTTCAAGATTCTCCCAACCTTAAAAACATACTTCGTTTAGTTCATACTCGTCTTGTACTCCACTCTACGCACCCAGTTTATTGTTAGCGATTCAAAAGACGGAAGGAAGGTCCGTTCTTTCAGCAAAAAAATTAAGGTACCTAAATTTTAGTTCTGCATTGAAACTACAGACAGTTGATCCGAATTAGGGGCTGATCCGAAACCGGTTCAGTGGCTCTACTATCACTAAAAGCCCTTATGCCCCATAAAGTAATGCACTAGAACAAAAAGCAGACACCCTTGTAGCACCAAACATTCAGGCAACGTCTTTAGGTTCCCTAATGGTTCCGCAAACATTCTAAGACCGATGTGTGCTACAAGGGCGAGTGTCACATTGTGCCCTCTTTTCTAGTTTGTGCCTGTTGAAACTGTAAATTGCTGTTGCCGCCCGCCCCCTTCCCAAATGTTGCCACTCTCCCTTACCTTGCGGCACGCTGTAGCCGTAAAACAGCAATCGCGATGGCAGGCTGTATCTGGTTCGAAAGCAAATCTCTTCTTTTTCTTATTTTTTCGGCTATTCCCCATCGGATTTCGCCGATATTTTCCATAACGTTTATCTGAAAGGAGAAAAGGATACTGAAATTGATATGAACTGCCTATTCTTTACGTGAAATGGGAATGGATGTGATTTGGTCCTACAAAGAGACAAAACTTGTACACATCATCGGCTTAGCACAAATTAGATTTGTCTTCTTTGAACATTCCGAAATCGAACATTGTCCAATGAAATATTGTACTTATATTTTTCAAAAAAGAAGATTTTTACACGAAATCACGCATCTTCTTAAAAACACTACTAGTAGGGTATTACGAAAGAACTTCTGAAAACAATATGTTCGTACGCGTGCGATATATTTTGTAACATACCATTTACAAAATGTACCATGCACGGAACGCAGAGCTTGTAAATTTACAATTTTTAATCGACGTGTACTAACAACAGCTTTATATCTGCAGCGCCATGTTCAGAATGTCCAATGTACACCGAGGGGGAAATCACTCCAGATCAAAGGTTACGAGTTAGTTCGTTAGTACACGTTAGCTATAGGCACTGCAGTTAGGCCCTGCATGGACCCCCTCGCAGACCTGTTTTTGGCGCGCCACAGCAACCCACCCAAAGCACTCATGGGGTCGTAAGTGGTATGGATAGAGTCGTCTGGACCTCCTCAAACGAATCCATGACAAAAACGCGATGTACCTCACAAGTAGACGGCTCCAGGCCGTGTTTTAGGAGGTGTATCAAATTTAATACTGCGTGACGTAAAGGCCCAGAGATCACGTTTTCAAACGTGGATTCGATCTTCTAATATCACGCGGTTAGGGTTCAAAAATAAGAACTTATAAGGGCGAGTTTTGCGAGCAGAAGAGCAGTTTTGATTTAGTGATGGTCGAAAGTGTTGGCTCTCACTTTTACTTTTTTGTCGCAGAATATGTCAAAGAGCTGCATTAGGACCCATACTTGATCATCCCGGACAGTCCAGAACCATATTTACCAGTTTTACAATATTTTATGTCGATTTAGTCATAAATATCCTTACCTAATCTCGATCTTTCTAGTTGGTCGAGAATAGGACGTGTACTCGCGTTTGGCAATCACTTCAAACCTACTGCCGAGTGAGTTGCAGGTCGGTTTCCCAATTATTAGTTTCATTTTATCCGAATAAGGTGCACACTCGGGTGCACATGCTTATTTTGGATCAGGCAATTATTCAAAGACTCCGTAGCCTGGGGACCGAAATATAGTTTGATTCCACAGCAAACATTTTTCCGTGAAGTCCCCTGGTTGATTTGGGAAAGCACTTCCCAGTGTGTTTTTCCCGCCTCATTTTTTTTTAGGTTATGTAGGAACTTTTGAGGAAATAAAAACGCGCATTTGGGGGAATTTTGACGGCAAACTAGTTTGGAAACAATTCTGAGGACAGACCTACTTCATTTCTACCTCCAAGGCTCACAAATCATGTGTTCTGCGCATGCGCCAGAGAGAACCGGGAATTTTTCCGGAAACAACCGGGAACTTCACGGGAATATGTTTGCTGTGTCTAGAGACGACTAATGCCAGTATACAAGACGGAAAAATCACCATCTTGATCCAAAGCTGATCCGAAAGAGGGACATGTGTTATTATTTCAGACCAAAATCACTTCCATACTCAAACTCCTAGTCCCAAAAACCCTTGTATCGCACGAAATTCCATGATGTGTATTCTATGGGTAGAGGTCTGTTTTCCATGTGAGGCTCATCACATTCCATATGGTGTGTGATTCCATGGACGTTCTACTATGGAAAAATCGAGGGGTAGATAACTCCTAAATTAGGTGTACAACGTTCAGAAATTGGATGTGAGTTGGCTTGAATTGAATTTGAATTGGACTGAATTGCTTGGAATGTTTTCTTTTCGTTTGATTTATTGCCATTTTATTTGACTGAAATAGCGTGAATTGACTTGAATTGGCTTAAAATGTCTCAAATTGTCTTGAATTAGACTCAATTGATTGAATTATATTTGAATTGGTTTGAATTATTTCTGAATTATGTTGAATGAAATGGAATTGATTTGAATTAGTTTGAATTGGGCAGAATTAGGGGTGGGGTAAATACTGGTAGTTACCCCTCCTATCGCTGTCCACGTGGAGATATCGACAACATTCCTTCGGGGTCATGTGTGGGACCTAAAGGAGCATCGATTAACATAGAAAATCGAAATTCCCACTGAGTCACTTGTTGTCGAGTTGGCGTGGACAGCGCCACCTGTTCCACCCTCATTTAAGACGGCTCTTTAGTATTTGCATGATAAATATCCTGACGGAATTCACACTTGTGATATCGAAGTTGTAAAAGACATTTTTCAGAAGAGCAAATGCCTTTGTCTTACTTGTTTTACTGGAGCGTAACAAAGCAGCCACAATAATACAGCGTCACTTGCCTTTTCTTTTGAATCAGCGAACTGGCGCACTGTGCGGCTGGACGCGACGAGAAAGTTTTTGACGTTGACGACAAGCTCGGCACTCGCAGGGGACCGCATTGCACGAAGCGAAGTCAGGACGGCGGTGCGAGCAGCCAGAAGGGGCTAATACGGAAAACAAAAAACAACATGAAAGTTGCTTTGGACAGCTCACTTTTAATTGTTATTACTATAACCGTAGAGATTTAAAGTTCCCAAAACGCGATCGCGATTATTATCACGCCTTTCACGGTCAGCGTGACGTAAATGGATCATTCCATTGGCTGCGTAAAGCCTACGATCGTGAAAATCACACTTGGCGTGAAAGTCACGGTTACGTTTAGTGAACTCTTAATCCACACTGTATTATTAATATTAAATACAACACTTCGTACCTTGCAACATGTATCGGTACGTCCTATCAATTGAGCTTATAATTCTTAAGGCTAAACTTAATCGCTCATCAACTCGTGTTCTAAACAGAAACGCTTACCTGCGCGGGTCCTACACAGAACCCCTCATCTGCTCACGGCTGGGGCCCTGGTTAGGTTATGTTGCCTCTCGTATTTACAATTGCATCACCCGATATCGGAGGCTTTTACGGGCTATAGTAGTTTAAATATGATGTTCCAGTACAGTCAAGAGAGAATATTTTTTCTTTCTAAATTGATCGTAGATGAGCAATTCTGTTCAGAGCCCCTAGTAATGAGCGGGTTTGCATGGGAAAAGGCCCATAAGAGAACCATGCAAAACTTCAAACGCTCTGCGGTATCGGAAAATATTATCCGATCTCAAAAAATAAAAATGCGTTGAATTTGTCATCGATCAGGGCAACTTTTCCGCACTATTACGTTTTCAATTTCCAAAATCTTTTTTCTACGACCCACTCTAACAGACACACACGAGTTCGTGTGCATAAGCCCGCTGGATAGCTTTTTCAAAGCAGAAGGGCGGGCTAAAATTCGCTAGGACCTCTACATAAGTTGGTTAAACAGCCCGCAACAGAGATTCGTCATGTGCAAAAAATGTTTGGATTTAATTTAGTTTCGCATTTTGCACAGGAAGATACGCAAATTTTATTTTGCGTTTTTTTCTGCGGACTGGCTCACTTGGTCGACGCACAACTGTTCTAAAAACCAAAATATTTAT